GGGGGGGGGTTGGAACTAGACGATCTTTAAGGTCCCTTCCAACCCAAACCATTCTATGATTCTATGATCCCAAACTACTGTGTATCAAGCCAGGTTTCACATAGAAACTTAGGGCATAGATCAAAGGAAATAGGGTGCATCCAACACAGCAGGGAAAAGGAGAGCCAGAGCAATGAAGTTTTCCTTATGGAAGCCGAAAACACAGATTATTGGTTGCAGAGCCAGGGCATTTTAGTAGGAACCCTTCTTCGAGACATCTGTGGTAAGAAAGAGCAAGAAAAGGCAAAATGCTTGATGAATTTTTAGGAAGCTATCTAAGGGCTAAGAGATCTTAGGGAATGAGTTGCAGTATCTTTTTGTCATTGACATTGGCATTTCCAGTTGCATTTAGTTTTGGGATGCTGCAAGGACTGCACGTGTGAGGAGTTGTGGAAATGGAATAGAAATAGATCCTTTTAACCTTCCATGGTATGCTCAAGCCTTGGTCTGCATTGACATTATACCTGGACTAGAAACTGTGCCCACAACTAGTACGGTAGATCCCAATTCAACCTGCAGTCCAAGAAGGCTCTACAGCACATGACGGAATTAAATACAGAGCAGAGGTTGGCTGCTTTCCTTGCTTACCACCAGTCCTCTACCCTCTTTCAGCTGTTCCCACCTTGGAAGCCTGTTAACACTAACCTGAACTGCAAGGGAAAACATATTCTCTTGCTGTGCGGTCATCTGTAGAAACAAAAGAGAAAGGGTGGTGAGCTGCAGAACTGCATGGTGGGGTAATGCCAATCTTCTTTCTCTGTAACACAACCATCCCACTACCTTAATTTTTTACTCTTCAGACTGTGAATGCAGGAAAAGAAAAATGTCTACAGTGGGTCAGACCAATGGTCTGTCTCCCCAACATGTCTCCAATACAGCTGTAAAAGACCCTCTTATGCATTGTGATACCTTCTAATGCAAGGACACTTTTGTAAATAGAGAACCTTTCAGTAGTGTGTCCTGATAGCCTTGCTTTTTTACTGATAATTAGTATTTTCATGTCAGATAACAATTTTTAGATTGTATGTACTGAGCACAAAAATTCTTGTACAGGATGGAAAGCAAAGAGAGAGCATATTAAGTGACAATATTTAGCTCTGTAAAGGTTGGATTAAGAAGTCTCCTCCTCTTCTTGACATGGTTTGGAAGGGGGAACAAGAATGGAATTCAGTATGCAACATGTAGGCCTGTGGTGCTGCTTTCTAAATCTCCAGTGGTACTTTTTCCATTTTGTTCTCAAATTCTTTTTTAAAAATAATTCATAATGTTCCATCTGCTGTTTCGGCTCATACTGAGCACAGAATAATCAGAGAGACTCAGAATGATTCCAAAATCATTTAGACCTTTAAAGGGTAAGAAATTATTTTCCTATTATCCTCTGAGACGTGGCAGCACCCAATGGATGATAGGATTATTATACTATACATGAAAAGCATAGCACTAAATTCTGCCTTCTGGTGGATCAGGGTGGCAGTATGTAACACTGATTTTAAATAAATGCCTAAGTATTTTCAAGAGAGCTAAGGAGCTGGAGAAGACATGGTAAATTGTCAGAGAAGCTTCCTTTCCACAGAGACGTAGCTTGAAGCTAGAGGAAGTCAAAAAACACAGTCATTTTGAACACATACACACCAGAACATAATCATAGTGCCAGACGGTCTCATCTCAAGAACAGAAAAGCAAGTGATTCTGCTACTTGAATGTAGAAGCTTTGTACAGAGGAAACCCAAGCTTGGAGTTGCAGGAGGAAGTGCACCGGAATAAGGGAGATGAGGGAATAAGGGGCACAGACAGAACTGTGTCTGAGTGGGGGGTATAATAGTTACTCTTTGCCTATGTCAGTGAAATCTCACCTGGCTTATAGTAGTCGTAGACATGCACTGTTGCCACTTTCAGGTTCTGCACTTCAACATCTTGTTTCACTGAGATGTTAAGCTTCAGAGAAGTCTCACCCAGCTGGAGAGAAGAATAGAAGTGAGCCAAAATGCACTGGCCATCTCAAAGTCACCTACATACCAGCTTTATTCCCTCTGCATCAGAGATTTCTTTCTCTGTCTTTCTAGGTTCTTCCACCCTCTTCCTCTTTTGCCAAAATTTTAGCCTGCCTGACCAGCCTAGAGATTTGTATTTCTGATCTCTGAGAGTCCCAACACAAAGTACTGCAGTTGCTACTACTTGAATGGGCAGCTCCCTGTGGTCTTCCTCTTACTTCTTCCAAGTAGACCGTGACTTTGTCTGGTTTTATCTCTGTCTTTTTGGCCAGGGGTATCTTCTCCAGCTGTACAGGAAGACAAGAGAGGAGCTTGGTTGGCCTCAGCTCATTGGCCTTCCCTGTTGTCTCACACCAAGTTTGGTATTTGTCAGTGAACCACTGCTGACTAAAGCACTTAGCCTAGTCAGGGGAAGGCCTGCATTCCCCAGCTATAATGGCATTGAGATTGCTGTGAGTGCACAAAGCCTTAGAAAAGATTTTTTCAGATTTGGAACAAGCGTCCTTGAGCCGTGTTCCTACTTTCAGCACTTGTAGCAAAAGGAAAGATGGTTAGTAGGAGGCTATGATGGATCTTCCTGGCTATCTCCTGGAACACTGGAGCATGTCATTGAACAACTCTATGGGATTCAACGCTGCTTTATGGAGTATCCCTACAAATGACACTGGCAGCAGCGAAGGGTGTCAGTGCACCCCAGATGATTCTAACTAGGTGCTTTTCAGCTCCTTTCTAACCTCTTACTGCATATGTGATCCTCACTACTGAACATGAAAAACTGCACAATATGAGTTCTGCAAGTGGAAAGTTGTCTTGTGAAGTAGCCCACTATATCTGCACTTGCTTAGTTTAGTTAATTTGTAGCAAGATAAGTAGCTACCAATCTCCAGCAGTTCTTAGATATTTGGGTATTTCTGGCTGAGCAACATCTGGAAAATAGATTTTCGTATCTTCAGGAAAGGCCAGAGGAAAAAGTCTTACCGCTTCCACAGAGCTCTTCACAGGAATGAACCCTGACAGCATCTCCACCTCCACCAGGGCCATGTTACTGGTCTCACGGTCCCCTACGTAACTGAAAAAAGGCAGGAGAGAAGCACATTAGATGTGGAAGTCTTCACAGCATTTCTAGGAGATACTAATGAACACTTCCAAACTCTGGCCTGCTCTACAGTGATGTGAAAGCTCAGCAGCATGTCTAACTGATAGGAGAAAGGGACCAAAAATAGCCCCCATCTACTTGCTCGATATGGAGACAGATTGTGCAGCAAATGTGTTATGGTTAATCTTCATGCTGCTCTCTCCAACAGGTGGAAGTGATCTTTGATATTACAGGTTGAGAGCGGCAACGTTGGCATTGTTCTCTTTCAGGACAGTAGGGCATGGAGAATATGGACCAAAACACTCATCCTAGACAGATGCAGGCAAGTGAAATATGGATAGGGACTGGGGTTTCTGCTGTCTGGTTCCAGCAGAGGTTCACACTGCAGAAGAATGCACCCCAGGGCTGGTTCAGCCCAGGCTGCCAAGTGTCCCCCAAGGGGGGAGCTCTGGCTCTTGGGAACGCTGCCATCTCAGCTGCTAGTGCTCTGGTGGCTGCTGAGCTGCTCCATGCTGACTGAGATAGTTGCTGTGGTTCTGCAAGCCACTGCCAGTGCGTTCCCAGGCCTTACTTCTCAGTTCACGATCTCCTTGGGATCTCAGGAGAAGAAGACAGTCTTCCCCTGTGTCTTTGTCTCCACAGACAGGAGGTTTTTATGGGGTTCTGGTCATACTACTGGGACTCCCACTTCTTTCCATTGAAGAAAGAGCCTCAAGGGATCTCATACCTGACAGATACATGGACATCAACCTGTTTCCTGACACCATCACATTCTCTTGGTACTGTTTCCACATCCAGGACAAAGACCTTTTCTGGTTTTGGTGGTGGGGTGTTATAGTACAAAGTAGTCTGGTGGGGGAGAAAACATCTCTGTGAAGTGCCCCAGGGCTTCCCTGTATGAGCTAAAGGGCTACCTGTGCCTCCAGCTTTTAATGAATTGGTAACCAGTGGCTAACACAGTTGGCCCCAGCTGTGCTTTCTGTTCAGACATGTGCTGTTTAGCACATAGCATCAGATACATCTGCCAAATGTAACCCTCAGCATGGAGGCTCAGCTATTTGTGATCCAAGGCCTCATTCAGTACAACATTGCCTCTGTCTTACTGAAAAAAAATATTGTTAAGGTGTGAGAAAGTACATTAGCTAAAACCCTGCCCCATTAGCTAAAACCCAGAAAGAAGTGTAACTGTTAACTGATGTCATGATAATAGTTAATAGTTCTAGGTCTCAAGAGGAAAAATACTGACAAAACAAGTATAAAATCCTTAAGAAAGAAAGAGCAAAGAATCAGAAGAGGACAACTCAGCAAGAGGGATGATCACACTCCTCCAAAGAGCAGCATAGGCCAATCTTCCTCCACCTGCCTGGTGACAGACTGCCTGGTCAGCAGGTACTTATCAGATGTCTTATGCTTATTGATTATATTCAAGTGTAGCCAAGTAGTATAAGTCCTAGTAACCACCTACATGCATTAACAATAAATAATTGTTGTGTCCTCTTGTCTTATACACTGCTTGCAGATCCTCTGTGAGCATCATAAGAGATGGCTGAACAGAAGTGACCCGGTGAGGGAGGTTTTCACAGGGAGTGACTTGAGTTCTTTGCTGCATGAATGGCTCATAAACAGACCACTATCAAAGCTGCCAGAAAAATAAGATGTATTCTCCTGGACCAGTTGTGTTTGTGTACCGGGATAAGAAGACCTTGGTCCTACGTCACTCCTTATCTCTGCATGTGATAACAACCCAAAGAATATTATGTCAGAAAATATACAGTGCTCAGCTCCTGAAGCAGTGACATCAGCAACATATGTTCGATATAGAAGCAGGTTCTGTTCTGTATCTCATCACTTCTGACTTCAAATCTACTGATCTCTTAACAATGACATGGCTCTGTAGCATGAGACAGCAAAGCTGAGACATTTCTGAGAAGAAGATACCATAGATGGTTGCAATAAACCCATGTCAACAGAGTATACCTGAGCTCCTTCAAGCTTGACGTGATTCTGCCTAGAAAGCCAAATCCTACTCAGAATTTGAAACTATAGTGCCTGCTTAGAACCAAACCTCACTTCAATAGTCAGTGGCAAAACCTGACAGCTCAGTTCCTTATATATACTCACCTGTACATAAATGCAGCCACTGCCAGTTGCCTGCACTGTGTACATCCCTGGGACAGCAAGGAGAGATGCCTGATGCAGGACCAACTTGTTGTTCCTGTGCACATGGAACTCCAATGGAGAATCCTCCTTGCCTTTCACTGTCACCTTTACATCTCTGATCTCCTGAGGAATCAGGGCTGCATACTGAGTGAGGGCCTGCAGGCTAACAACTGTGTCCTGAAGGTAGAGAGAGAGTCACTGTGCTGTGGAGCCATGCAGTACAAGATCCAGCACACTGGGTCAGGCACTGCAGGGAGAACCACACTCCTCATGGCCCTGATTCACACTCTGACACAAGCAGGGTCTATGCCACTAAGTGCATAGGTAGGGTCTATGCCACAGGCAGCAGGATGACTTCTGTTACCTGGAAAGGGTGGCTTCTGAGCCCTGGGGTTAGCAGTCCCAGGCACTGGGTAATCCAAATTACACCACAGAGAAAAAGAGTTTCCCCATGGCATTCCCCTTCCCAAGCAGGGCTCATGTATGCCTGTCTGCAAAGGATGGATCTAGAGTGACATGCACATGAGAGATGTGTACATCATTCCAGGCACAGTATCTCTCTCCTTCCCCCATGACTTTCCCTGGCTTGTTACCTGTGTGGAAGCAAACCCACCAAAGGCATTTCTTTGTCCACTGAGCCAGTGCACAAGCTTGCTCACTGAGGCTTCATTGAGTGCCACGTCTGGTTTGGAGACATGAGCCAGGAGGATGTAGGCTACTGTCTCAATCATAGAAGAAGACGACTCTTCACTACTGGAATGTGATGTCAGGAGCTCTGCTGATTAGGGGAGAAACATGTGGAAGAGAAGAACAGTAGATCCCTATGAACATCAGCTTCTCCTGCCCTGGTACCCTTTGAGGACTGGCAGTTAGTTACACCGTCAGAAATGCATGTGCCTTTCTGGGGCACCTCAGCGTGCAGAAGCCCATCCCTCCTATTGTTTTTGTACTCTGAAGGGCCAGCCATCTATGATAGACTCCATGTCTTCCTTTGAAAGCACAGAGAGATCCAGGCCCCAAATCCTCAACCAGTTCCTCTAGGAAACAGTTCCCCTAGAAACTGATTGACTCTGAAGAGAGGTTTTTTGTTTAAAGTACAGTCCTAGTCTTATTCAGCTCTATGTATATTCAAATCTATGTCCCCAAGCTACAGCATTTTTGCTGTTTCTGCATTTACCTACGATAGTCTAACAGGGCTCCCTGTGCTGAAAAGCTCTAGGACTCATTTCCAGTCAGTTGGATCTGTTGTACAAGAATTGATCACTCTTTGAGGGAGAATTGGTGGCAGGCTACCAGAGGAGCAAGACTACCCAATTTATTTTGTTGGCATCCTCACTATGCCTCATAGGCTAGGATAATTTAAGCTAGAGCTGGGTCCCACCTGTGGTCCAAGCTCACAGGCACTGAATGCATCTGAGTCTGGTTGAATGTTTTGCTGTAGTGATAGTAGGGGGCTAACCAAAATTCAGCTAAGTATTTAGCTTAATTGTGCCAACGTAGACATCTTCTACAATGGTACAAATGTGAAAACCTGAAATGCTTTTAAATTCAAAGTCTGGTTTCAGAACAAAACTTCACTTTTGAAATAAGAATCACAGAATCACTTGTTTGCATAAAACCAGCATAAAGACTTCAGAACTTAGCTCAGGGACTCTATGGACTGGTATTACTTCATTGTGTTTATCACAATGGAAGGTTTTTGCATGAGGGATTTGTGATTTGTTACTTCCAAGGTGACAAGCAGAACAACTTTTTCATGAAGTGGTAGAAGGTGTCTTGGAGATGCAGCTACAGATGACCTACAGATTAACCTTGATTCTTTAAAAAGCACCAAACTCCTGTTTGAGATCCAACTGTAAACCTGTTAGTGAGGCTAACAGAATCCCAGCCACCAAGCCATGGAAGGTGTCTCTAGCCAGCAGAAAATAATCCTCTCGGGCAGAGATTCTCCAGCAAGCAAACTGGCTGCAGCTGGTGGCTGCAGTCACATCCTCAGACTCAGTAGGCAGAACACAGACACATTTAAACATGTAGGACAACACCTTTCCCTCACTTACAACTCCATTGCTCTTGCCAAGTCATTGCTAACTATTATCAGTGGAAGCAAGAGCCAAAGAAAACTATCACTTGACCCGTAGGCAGTTTGTAGTGCTCCGTGCCCTAGGGCCTTAAGGGGACGTTTTCCAAAGTGCTTGGTAAGTTAGAAGCATCAGACTGACTGGATATCAATGAGGGTGTGCTCCAGTCACTTGTTCCATATGTACTATCCCAGAGGCAGCTCTGAAAAAGTATTGCACTCTGCGTGCAATTCTACTCCTTCTAGTTTGCCCACTAGCCACCCTGTGAAGCCAGCTGGGCAGCCTGAGTGGCTGTGCAAGTGAACTGCACTCTGCACTGGTAGCTGGTAGGCTGAAAAATCCTCTCTCCCTTTTTTCTTCCATGCTATTTTTCAGTCCCCAATGTAGTTCACCATACTGCCAGATGAACAGATGTAGTGAGGAACGTAAGCCAAATCAGGTAATATTGTTACTAACTGTTTAACCATAGGCTTAGGTGCTTTGAAACTCCCACCTGGCATCCTCATTTAGGACAGAAGTCGAGTATTTTCCAAGTTAAAGAGACAAAAGGAAGAACGAAGCTCAGCAGCATAGCAATAAAGACGCATCCACCCAAGGGCCCTGAGCTGAGCAGAGCAGCAATGGGGAAGCAGTCAAAAGGTTTGAGTTCTGCAAGTAAATGCCCTGACCAGCAGCTGAATAGGCATGGTGAAGCAAGTTTCCTCTGCAAGATCTCTTGTACTATGTATGAATTGCTGAAGAATGATGGGAGCACCGCAACTCAAGTGAGTACTTTGACCCCACAAATTAAGCATGAATCACCTCTGCTGCTTTTGATTAGAAATTGTTTCCTGGGTCTGAGAAAATTAGAGACTTTCACAGCTTCAATAAATTACCATTTTCTGATACAAAAGCCAATCTGAGAATAGTTAAATTTCCCAAACCACTGCAATTAAATCCTACAGATATCAGGCCTCAAACACGGTCATTATCTCTAGAACCCAAAATCTAAACAGCAACAACCTACCAGTTTCCTTCTCTAGCATATCCAGGAGCTGCTCTCTCATCTCCATGCCCTTGCTCAGTGTGAAGACATAAGCCATCAAGGCCTTGACATAAAGGCTTGCCTTATCAAGTGTTACATTCTTGAGGCAATGTAAGGCATTATCCAGCATGGTGTCCTGAGAAAGGAATCCAAACCCAGTGAATTTCCTCTGACCACTTTTTGTTGTGAAAATCTATCACAACCCTCAACGTTGGGATACAACCCATACAATCCTGGATGTATTTCAGTGCTAGTATCTCTCTCAGGGCTGTGGAACATGAAGTGGAGTGGACAAAGCATCACTCTCTGTGGGTTGAAAAAAAAGATGTGACTGGACATGTCACTGGGATGGGGGATTGTTACTACACTGGAGAATCCAGCTGTAGGAAGTGTCTGGTAACACGCTAGCTCAGAACTGTCAGACCTGCATGCTGTGGGTCTCGGCTCCCAAGGGGTTATGATGGTTTTAGAACTGTACCAGCAAGGCTGGAATATCAGCCCATTGTGGCTAGAATAGTCTACACTTGGCTTGAAGACCACTGCTTTTATTTCAGGTCTGAAGGGAGCAGTGGGGTTGCATACCTGAAAGGTGGTCTTTTTTTTCTCCTTTAGCTATATTGGTCAGTTTAATGAAAACTATTGCCTTTCCCTGCAAGCCCTGAGCCATTTTCAGAGACAACTGTTTCCCCTGAGACCAGTTGGGAATGGGATGCTCTGCTTCACTGCAAATCGGGCCATTTATATTAAGAACTCCTTACCAAGTTAAAAATTTCCTGTTGAGCTTTTTGTATACAAAGGTGGGACATGACAGAACCTTTCACCAACTCAAGCTGGGTACTCCCTGAAACCACAGACCTGGGGAGGAATGAAGGGTGGAGCATGCTCTCAAGCCCTGCAAGAGTTCGGATGTGACTTACATTCTTCTCCAGATGGAGCTCCACCAGTGCAGCAGTGACATAGGCTGTTAATGAGATTGTATCATCCACACCACCCTGCAAGTCACACAGACAAACATCAGAAAGGGACAAGACCAACCATTGCTTGCCTGTCATTGTATAGCCACTGAAACTGCCTATGGATGGCATATCTGAGAGAGTACAGTAGTGTGCCTCTGGGCATTCTTGGACATGTGGGGACTGAAGGAAAGCACTCTAGGCTCACTTACTGAATATCATGAGTCTGGTGTTGCGGGCAGCCTGAGAACCATATTGTGCATACAGCCTAGGGGTGCCTTCTCATAGAAGGGCATGAAGCAAACCATTAAGCTATTTATTTTATTATATATGTTACAACTGGACACTTGAACAAAGTTTTTATGATGCAGGATTTGCATACAAGAAGCAATGCAAGTTTACATACAATTCAGCTGACTGTGAGAAGCTACAGGTTAATATGGGTAAACAGGATCGCAGGAGCCTCTTTTCCCATCAGAGGACATTAATTCTTGGGGAATGATTGCAATCATTCTGCTTGCATCCTCAGACATGAGACAAGACTACATCTAAAATGAGGGGGAAAATTTGGGCTGAGATCCTGAGAAGCATCGTTCACACTGAATAGCAGAAACTTTGAAGCGTAAGGGGGGTGGAGGCACAAAACATATTCCAAAAAGTTCTGTTCAGATAGAAAGCCCAAGCTGAGAAATTAACGAAAGTCAGAGAAGGATGAACAGTCTACATGCACACTCTCGTTTTATTTTGTACTGCATCCAAATTTTAAGAAAAAAAGTGTAACCCTGTGCTTTGCTAAAATAGCAGCCTGTTTTCTTTCATAAACCTGCCTTGTATTTAATATGGGTAATTTTGCAATCTGAGCAGTCTGGATTATTCTTACCTTTACAAAGACAATGAACCCAAGTATTGCCATACTGCATGCACATTGTTCAGTACCTGAGCACTAGGACATGTTCACCAAGAGTTTGGTGCATTTCCAGCTACACTGCAGGAATCATTTTGGGGATGCCAGGCTCCAGGAGAAGTCATTCTTTTTGGGCAGTGGAGGGACAACTGCGTCTTCAGATAATCCCATATTAGAGCACATAGACGGGGGGGGGGGGGGGGGGGGGGGGGGGGGGGGGGGGGGGGGGGAAAATTTGGGCTGAGATCCTGAGAAGCATCGTTCACACTGAATAGCAGAAACTTTGAAGCGTAAGGGGGGTGGAGGCACAAAACATATTCCAAAAAGTTCTGTTCAGATAGAAAGCCCAAGCTGAGAAATTAACGAAAGTCAGAGAAGGATGAACAGTCTACATGCACACTCTCGTTTTATTTTGTACTGCATCCAAATTTTAAGAAAAAAAGTGTAACCCTGTGCTTTGCTAAAATAGCAGCCTGTTTTCTTTCATAAACCTGCCTTGTATTTAATATGGGTAATTTTGCAATCTGAGCAGTCTGGATTATTCTTACCTTTACAAAGACAATGAACCCAAGTATTGCCATACTGCATGCACATTGTTCAGTACCTGAGCACTAGGACATGTTCACCAAGAGTTTGGTGCATTTCCAGCTACACTGCAGGAATCATTTTGGGGATGCCAGGCTCCAGGAGAAGTCATTCTTTTTGGGCAGTGGAGGGACAACTGCGTCTTCAGATAATCCCATATTAGAGCACATAGTTAGACCTACCTGGAGAGTATTGTGCATCGTAAGGCATGAGAAGAGGGAGAATCCAGCCAGGCTATTCTAGACAAGCACTAAAATATAAAAATATTTCTCCCTGTGCCCTTGAAGTGCCTTGGCACAATTAGCCTTGGTGCCTTTTGTTTAGAGTAAAAATGAAGAAAGCCTAGCAGAGATTAAAACCTCACATAGAGGAAATGCCTACTGTTTTAGGCCACGCTTTTTCATTCTGCTCTGGGAAGCTGCCTTGGCTGTGCTAGGCCATGGGGACATTGCTTTGTGCTACTGTGCACAGTGGAAGAGCCTGTGGAAGCAACCCTGTGCCTCACATTGTGTTCTTCCTGCTCCCACTCCCATGTCTGGCAGCCATACCTTCAAGTCATTGTTGAAGAGCTTCCCCACACTCTAGAAGCAGTCACTGGACAGCTGGTGCTTCTGCAGCCGGAGCAGAGTGTTGTGCACATGATCCTTATTGATGTAAATGTGAGAGCTGGCTTGTCCAAAGGACCTGGCTACAAAAGCTGTCAGCCTGTGGGCAGAGCACAAAGGAATCCCATGTCACAGCCAGGAGCTGAACCAGCAAGGACAATAGGTTTGGGATGACAGTACCAACTCTGGTCACTCACCATGTGTTGCCCTGGTTGACAGCTTTTCCAAAGGTGCTGTAGAAGCCATCATCATGTTTGTAGAGTAGCTGATGCTGGTAACCTATGGAGACACGTGCCAGGACACAACTTTCAGTGTGAGGGCCTGTAGCATCTCAAACTGTATCCTTGCTGTGGGAAGAAGGCTTCACAGCAAGAGACCTCACCAGGTCTACAGCCAGAGACATTGAGGCAAACCTACCACCCCACAATTCCCCATGCATCCCACAGCATCAGCGTGGCAAGAAGCAGTTGCACAGCATCACTGAAGTGCGCCATGCGGCTGCTCTACGTTACTAGAGCTGCTATGTGCAAGTACTGTGGGTATCTGCCCTGCTGGTTTGCAGAATGGTGACATGCTCACTCACCTCATGTCTTCCCGTGCCCCAGAGAACCCTCATGGGCACCTTGCTGTCAATAAAAAGAGCTGTAGGAGTGAGGAGAAAGGCTTTTCCTAGAGGGGACCAATATGAAACCCTGTTTGTTTTTCAGCACTTCTGCTAGCCCTGTTGGAACTCAGGAAAACATTTTTTATGGGACATACAGAAAGCAACAAAGCCATGCCTTTAAGCTCTGAAGGCAGAACGCTGTCCACCTTTGTTTGCTCTTCAACTACCCTCCACACAGCCTCGCTGTTTACTCTCCACCTTGCCCCTCTGCTGCTGCCACTCTCTTGGGTATGCCCCCCCTCCCAGCTATCTGTCCTAACTCATGGTACAGGAGAGAAAGGAGGAAGGAGAGGGAGTAAAATCCTATCCATGGGAGGCTGCTGAGCTTGCAGCATAGCAGGATAAGGAGACCGACAGGCTGGAATGTGAGGCATGTTGCAAAATGAGACACAGACACTGGCACTGTATTAAATTCAGTTTATATTGGACAGAGCTGACATGCCCCCACAATACGTGTCCTAAAACACGGGGAAACACTAAGCTACCAAACTCCTATCTATCCCCAAAGGCCACTCTTTATTCTAATTAATAACAGCTGATGCCCTGTTTCCACAAGGGACTTTGGTCTGCCTTGGACTGATAAGGGAAAAAACCACAGGCGTCACATAATGATGGAGATCATTAATTACCCACACCCTTCTCGGAAAAGCAGGCTTAGTACCTCAATAACAGGCAAAGACAGAAGTCCTGCTTCTTCAGAAACATGCTTTTCCTTCCATGAGACATTTCCCTTATTCTCTGTGATACCTTCCTTTGTCACAGCTCTGGCAGTGCTCCCACCCCTGCCCTGCACCTCCCCACCAGACCAGTGTCCCACACTCTTGATTTATAGCACCTTCATTTTGCAGCAGAAGGAAGAAGGACAATGTTTACCTGTTCTCAGGAATGTCAGTGCTTTATCTTCAATTTCTGGGTCCAGTTGTTTAGTCTTATTCAAGTGCTGGAGAATGAAGATGTTTGGTGCAAACTGAACCATGTTCTGTTCACCACAGCCAAAGGGCATCTCTAGCAGGTGGTCTAAATTTTGAAGTGCTGGGCCCATGATGTCCCCTTAAGTTTGAGGTGGAGGGGCAGGAGAACGGAAAAGCACAGACGTTCAGCAGTATGAAACAAAGGCACTGCTGCCTTCTCTAAACTCTACTGGGATCCTGGAAAAGAGCCAGCCCCTCACTGAAAGGAGATGATTAAGATTTCTGCTGACCCCTTCTAGATTAGGCCAGCACAGAAAGGGAAGATGTCATGGTTCTGGGAGGAGGGATGGAACGCGAAGATAAGGGGATCTGAAGAAAGGTGAAGAGAGCTGTCATTCCTGAGTGGGTATCAAGGAGGCAAAAGAATTATAGAGGCAAACTAGGTGGAAATCTGCAGGGATGGTTTTGGTTCACTTAGGTGGATGGCAGTGACAGATGTCAGAGGGGATACCCCACCACTTGGGGATCACCCAGGATCATTCCTTACAAGAGGAATAAATATTGAAAAAGATGACTTGATGCACATTTCTGAGGCCAACATCACACCCCTTACAGTTTATCTCAGGAGGAACTGGGTCAATGCGTCGTTAAGGCTAAAGCATTGTGCAAAGTCTTCCCACCAGGGACCCAAGAGCAGGGAAAGCCTTTCTCACCAATCACAGAGAAAGTGGCTCGGCCAGATCCCTCCAGCACTTCTGCAGGCAGTGTCAGGGAGAACTCTTTAAAGATGGTGTTATCTGAGGAAGGCAAAACCCAGAAATTTATCCCGTGGAAGAAGTATCACACACAAGTGTAACATCCCAAGGAGACCCAGGTGAGGCTCAGTGTGACATTGAGTCACAGCAGCTGAGACTTGCAAACAAATGCCTCAATACAGGAAACTTTGCCAGGTAGAAGACAGACATGGACAAACTACAGTCGTCTTTTTCCCAGGCAGGGATGGTGCCACCAGCACTTGCTCCCCGACAAATTCCTCCCACCTCTTGGTATTAGCAGTAGCCCTGTCCCTTCCATCCTGCTCTCATGACCAATAGCAGTCAGGGATTTTTGTCCCCTACCTGCAGCACAGAGAAAGGCATTTCGGGTCCTCTCTTGTAGGACACCTCCTGGTTGCAGATGGAGAACAAGTAGTTCAGATAGGGAAGGCAGGAAAGGAAGTCACCATGCCTCAGCAGCCTGTCTGCTTCCAAGAAGAAGGGGCTAAACTTCCTCTTAGCATCTTGCTAACTGCCTCAGGGGACAACCCACTGTTCCCAGGTGTTCTCCACCCTGAGGCCTGACTAACCTTCACAAGCAGAGGTTTTATCACTGTGTCTCTCCCCCCTTGCAAAGGTGTCACAGCAATCCTGTTATCACACTGATCATGTGAATCTTCTGCCATGCTGCTCACAGTGACATTCACTTTGCCTGCAAGGAGCACAGGGGCACATCGCTGAGCACTTGCAGCGGACAGCTGTATGTACAAGCACCGGGACCAGACATGCAGAGGCAGGCAAATTCCACCCCTCCTCCCGCTAGCTGCCACACATCCCTCTGCTCAACCTCACCCAGCCTGGTGGCTGTCACGTTCCACTTAAAGGTTTTTGCTTCGTTGGCACAGAGGCAGCTGGTGAACCAGCAGTCTGGACAGGCATCCACCTTTAGTTCTGGGATCTCTGTGAGAGTGGTGCGCACCTGAGTGTGGTGGGGTGTACAAGCACACATTGGCATAGTGTTAGTATCAGGCACTGCACAAAGGAGCAAACACCATGGGTCATGAAGTGCGAGGCTCTGCTTTGTGGCCCAGACACCAGTATCTAGGGCTCCTGAGAAGCTCATAGCTTGCCTTTGGGCTCAAGTGTTTGCTCCAACAGAGGTGTGTAACTGGGGGAATACTCACCCTGGATACAGTCCTTGAGGTAGTTGAAGACAGTGGCTTTTAGGCTGAAAGTCTCTCCTTGGATCACAGAGTACGGCAGTGACAGATCTACAAAGAAAGACTGGAAGACCCTAAGAGCGGTCAGAGAAGAGAACCCAAAGCCAGTATCGGCAACGCAGAAGGTGTTGGCGTTCCGTTCTGTGATGGTGTCAGGTACAGCATCTTGGACAGATGCTTGCCCATCATCCCTACAGCACGAAGAGAGAGAGGAGAACTTGCTCAGAAGCAGTCAGAAGTCTCCAGGGATCTCTCTGGGGAAGGCAAGTAGAGGCTGTCAACAACCTGAAGGAGACCAAATCCCAAATCCAGGTCTCTGGGAAAAGTGTCCGTGGTTTTGGCTTCCTCATGTTATCAGAGCGAGGTGCAGAATCATTATGGCCAACATGATTTTCTGCAGAAAAGCAAGTGATTGATACCTCTGAAAATAGCATATGTAGCTCCAGGTGAAATTAGTTCTTCGTTCACAGGCAATCTAACACCATAAATGCTTTGTGACACAGAACAAGAGTGGACAGGGTTGGCTTTTCAGTGAGAATCTGACACAGTGTCTGTACCTTTGAGGAACACAGCTTTAGGGAGACAGAGTTGGATGGAGTTTAGCCTGAGGCTCAGTCTGACAGATCCAGTAAGTTTGGTACGGATCCAGGAGGAGACAGCATGCTCAAATGGAGTTGCACTCTTAAATAATCTGTGAAAGTGCTGATGGAGAGCATACTACATTTTCTGTGAAGGGCGCAGAACACAGGGACAGCCAATAAAGCACAGAGATTTGAGCTTTTATCTGTGATTTATAAATCAGGTCCATTGAACTGGACACAAGCTTCACTCCTCTCACACACAAACAAGAAACACAGTAGGATGGAAGTCAGCCCTCTCAGCTACAGGCTGGCCAGAACTGGGAGAAGAGAGCCCCTTCAGTCAAGGAGATGGACATGTCTATTCCTTACCAACAACATTGCCTTTTCCAGGATACATCTTTTTCTTAAAGCCTGGTCGCATACAGAAAACTGGTTTCTTGATTCTAGTATTGGTTAATATTTTCACGCACAATTTCTGGGAAAACAGTGAAGAGAGTAAATCAATGATAAGTAAAAGGGAACAAGGAATGTTGAAAATATCTCATGATAGCAGGTATCATAAGGGGGCTGGTAGTAGCTGAAACATTTTAAAATGCTGCTTGTTTATATACATATGCATAGACTTACAGGCTCAGACTCTGGCCAGTGCATGAGGAATGGAAACCAGCTTCTGAGGAATACTGGAGCCAATTATTACTTCTCATAAAAGTAAATTTCAACTTCATATGCCTAACCCTAACAATGAGCCAGAGTCAAATGCCATATATCCCATGAAAAACTTAAGAGAAAAAAATACCAAGCTTTAAATCTTTGCACAATTTTAGAATGGAAAGATCTGACTGGCTGGGGAAACAAAAAAACTCTATAGAGTCAAATGCCATATATCCCATGAAAAACTTAAGAGAAAAAAATACCAAGCTTTAAATCTTTGCACAATTTTAGAATGGAAAGATCTGACTGGCTGTGTTCACACAACCGTTCTTACACAAGTTAGTACCAGTCCTGGCTTAGAAAACTGACGGGGAACTCAGTCACAGCTTAGTATGGATTCTGCTTTTGTCCGAATAACACTCAGACTCTCAGGGCCTGTGCTTCACAAAGTGGAAATATTGGATTGAATGCACCCTCATGTGCATGGACTGAGAAGAAGACATTATCACACCAAAAGAACGTATTTGATCCTGTGAGCAATCCTTGCTTTGATTTAATGGTCTGCAAGTCAGTGAGAACTCTTCTACTTTCTTGAAGTGCCAAAACCCTCCATGGAGAGTATGGGTCCTCACCCTTTCTGCAGAGGCTGTACATGCCTGTGGACTTAGTCATACGTTACAGGACAGTCATCTGTTACAGGGTCACTAATAATTGAGATATAGTGGGATCTCCTTTAACTGGCATCCAACATAATCCAGGAGTAAGCATCTAGAAGACAGCAGAGTGCCATGCCTTTGGGGGGAATCAGGGTCTGTATTTGTAAGGTATAGTTCTGTCAGCCTGAGAAGCCCATGCAACTCAGACTCCATTTTGGGTTCTTTTCAGGGTGTTGTTACCCCCTTCTCCTATTTTGAGGTGCTTTTACTTGCATATATTTCTTTAAACAGCATTCTGACAGAAGCAGCACTGCTTGGGTTTCAGTTAGCAGATATTTTGGTTAAACATTGGAACAGGCTGCCCAGGGAAGTGGTTGAGTCCCCATCCCTGGAGGTATTTAAAAGACGAGTAGATGAGGCACTTAGGGACATGGTTTAGTGGGTGGTGGTGTTGGGCCGACGGTTGGACTCGATGATCTTAGAGGTCTTTTCCAACCTCAATGATTCTATGATTCTATGTTAATCTTCTGGCTATTGTGCTTGTTAGTGGATTAGTTATGTTGTCATTTGTCTTGACAGTTAGCTATAAAGCCAAATTGTGAAGGACTTCTTTTTATTAAAACTGCTTTGAGGAGAAGTAACAAGAGACTCAATGAAACACAGAGTAAATGAGTTTGCAAATAAAATAAGAGCCAAACGGTGATTAGTCAAAACATGGTGAGGTGCTCAGGTCTTACTGGAATATTCTTGCCATATCTACCTTTGTAGATACGGTAGCCTAAACTAAGTTCATTCATTTTTACACTGCCTTTTTCTAATCAAGTGGTTTGCACTATGCTTACTCATAAGTTTCATTTTTCCCCATAGTCCCCAAGTGAGTGTGGCCACACAGACGAACAAGGCACAGACAACTTGTAGCAATGAAAATCAGGGCAGCTGATGTTTGTTAAGACTAAATTCTTGTAGGCATTCAGGATGGCATACTGGAAACTGCTGGCTCAGGAAAAGTTTGGTACAAGTGTAGAGACTCACCTTAAACAGACTGAAAACATCAGCATCACTTTGGTACCATGGTGCTCCCATCCGAGTCTTTTTGTGGAGACTGGACTGCTGGGGCAGACAAGGTATGCCTCAAAGTCTTCCAAGTGATAAGGGAACCTTCATCCTCCAATTGTAAAGCTGTCATCAAAGACCTTCTCATACAGCTGCAATGGAAAAACAGAGGTCTTCATAAGGAACTGGCCGGGTCAAATATTTGGATTGTATCCCTCTATTATACTTCACAAAGCTTTGCAGTTGAGGAAGTTGGCACTGGCCCAGCTTATACTAAAGGACATGAAGCCCAAGGAGTGGATGTAGGCAAGTAGATTTCAGTCTGCAAACTTTCACCTCTGACAGTTCAAGCCTTTTAACTCTAGGGTGAAAGATTAGGATAAAATGCATTATTCAGTTTGAGCACAAGGCATTGGCACATCTGACTTACATATTTAATGATTACTACTTTATATAACTGTTAGTAGATGATGCAAGATGCCCTAGAACAGCATTTCTGTAAAATGGAACACCAGATCACACTGTGGAACCTATCTACAGGTGCAGCAAGTCACCCTGGATTTAGTGAAGCTTCTTTGTAACAGGCTGGCCTGCTATAACTTAGCTTACAACTTTGCATGAGGCATATACATGTGTATTATCTCTGACACACCTTGTGGAATTATGTTAGGATTTTCAATTATTGCAGTATTTTTGTTCTAAGTCTTAAATTCATTCCTCTGAAACACTGCTTTAAGGTAAGCGCCTTCAGCCCTTCTAGATTCTCAGAATGCACCTGGGTGCCGACAAAATCCTGACCACTTTTCACTAGCCACTGTGTGCACTGGGTGCTGTCCCCTAGCTACTGTTTTCCAAAGAACTGCTCAGGTGCTCAGCCTCATCTGTCATATGGTTATAATTCAGCAATGTTTGGGGCAGAGGGATAGGAGGACCCTGCTGGGGCAAAATTCCATTTCAAAGGTTTAGCTTCACTGCCTAGTAGAAGATGGAAGAGCAGAGAGACAGGTGGATGTGAGGAAAGCTGCTAAGCACTCTCCACCCAAGCAGAAAGCACCAGCATCTCTTTGAAGCTGCTCTCCCCACCTATCCCTGCAGTGCCGTGCAGCATCCACCACTCTCCAGGCAGAGGCCCACAGTGCAGGGCTGATGCGTGAGGAACGTGACCACCACATAACTGCTCAGCAGAGGCCGAGGAGGGGGAATGCCAGGGTGGCCACCTAACACTGCAGCCGTGTCCTGGGACGGACTATGGGCTTCCTCCCACCAATGCACGGAGACAGAAGGCAGGCAGACACTAGGGGGTTGGTCACCACAGGCTGCACTCACTGCATTTGCTGTTAGGATATTGTTCTCCTTCAGGAGGACACTCTTGTCAACAGCTTGGACAGAGCACGAGGTCCCTGGAGCAGCCTCGAGGTCCAGACTTGTCGTCTTCCCAGTCCCAGAACTTCTTCCTTGTGTGAGAAGTCCAGTGCCACCTGCAAAAGAACACAGGGTCAGGGGGCTTAGTGTTGGAGAGTGGGACCCTGTGACTCTTAGATGTTTGGGTAGCAGAGGGAAAGACAGAGAATAAGGCAGGGAAGGGGGCTGAGATGCTGAGATAGGCCCTCCTGGAAACCCATTGGGAAGGTTACAGGGGCTGCAGTGCGTACAGCCCAGCCAGAATTCCCCTACCACCACACATCCACCACCTTCTGATCCAGAGCTACACAGGGAGCTAAGCAGGCAGGCTTCTCTTCTGTGTTAGGGAGAACATGGGGGACAGTGTGTTCCGAAGTCAGTCATGGGGAATGGGGGGAGAAAACACAGGGATGTTTTCGTTATTGCTGAGCAGCGCTCACACACAGTCAAGGCCTTTTCTGCTTCTCACACCACCCCACCAGCGAGTAGGCTGGGGGTGCACAAGAAGCTGGGAGGGGACACAGCTGGGACAGCTGACCCCAACTGACCAAAGGGATATTCCACACCATATGACATCATGCTCAGCATATAAAGCTGGGGGAAGAAGAAGGAAGCTGGGGGACGTTCGGAGTGATGGCATTTGTCTTTCCAAGTAACCATTACGCATGATGGAGCCCTGCTTTCCTGGAGATGGCTGAACACCTGCCTGCCCATGGGAAGAAACTGTCTTTATCTCAACCCACAAGTTTTCTCACTTTTACCCTTCTGATTCTCTCCCCCATCCCACCGGGGGGGAGTGAGCGAGCGGCTGTGTGGGGCTTAGTTGCTGGCTGGGGTTAAACCATGACACTTTCCATGGAGACACACCCCACACCAGACTTTAACCCCAGCAGAGCACCCCTATTTTCAGTTTGTGTTTCTGGTCAGATGCTCTGAAGCACAACAGGCACCAAAACAGCTTTTATATCGTGAAGCTCTACTTCCTTGCAGATAATTTAGGGCTCTGTGGACAATAGCTGTGGGCCTAGGAACAAGAACTAGAGCCTGTCCCCAGGCTCCCTGAGGACAGAAATCTACCTCCTAGATTACAGGACCTCTGATCACCAAATCCTGCCCAACCAAAATTAGGGAATCTCACCCTGGATAGACTGGGGTCTCAGGGAAAAACCTCTGAAACAATAGTTCCAGTCTCTGAGAAATGGATGACAATAGGAGATCGTACTGCTTGGGCATGAATCCCACATCAGCTGCAGGAATGCGGGTAGTGGGAAGATGGGTGTACTGCCAGGCTGGTAACAACGAGCTCCAGGTATAGGATCAAAAGTTGTGAAGAAAAGAAGCCAAGTGCTTCAAGGTCTGGTATTGAAAGGGAGGTCAAGAGCAGCTACCTGCCAAGCTGAGCCTGGACAAGCCATGTGCTGCTGCAGGGCAAGGGCAGCCACTAGAAGTGGAGTTCAACAGAGACAGGTGTCAACTGCCAGTTCTGCTGAGCCACCTCCAACATGTCCCAGAGTGGAGAAAGGGGACATTTCCTCTGAGGAAGCATTCAGATTAACAGATGTTTTTAGTAGAGTCAAAGGAAGGTGAGGGGGGATACAAAAGATTAGGATCATGCTCCAGCTCAGGACAGCAGAGCACCTTTGGTGACCATTTGGCTGAACTGTCGCAGCATAGCCTCCAGTTTCCCTGAGGAGATGGCACTGGAGAGTAATTAAAGATGCTTCTACTAATATAGTCAAATGAGATCAGGAGCCAGAGGACTGTGCCCCAAAACCTCAGATTTCTTCCACTTTCTATCCCTTTCCTCAGTCTACCTTCACTTTATCCTCCTTTTTCTGCAGCTGATGTTCACCTTCATCAACAGCATGTTGTTCCAGCTGGTGGTATGCAGTGAGAAGTGGACTTCCCCATTCTCATCTGTGAGGAATGACAGGTGTGTCTCCTCATCATTGATGTCAACTGTTAGGTAGACCATTTCATTTCTGAAGGGAGACTCGTCACTGTGGCAGAACATCTGCAGAGAAGAAGAAGTAGTTAATACCCAGTCGTGCCACACTCCGAGGCACTGCCAATGCTTAATACTAATTGTTTCTATCATTGGGCTTCCTCAGCCCTTCTAGCTTTTAGACAGGTTGGAAGGTTCCAAATAAAATGCGATAAATACACAAAACCAACAATGTGCAGCTGTTCAGGACTAGAAATAAACAGTAGCGCAGCCAAATGAGACACCTATATTAGGGGAAAAAAGGTTATTTCCTCTGATCCTGAGCTTTTTCTTGGACAATGCTGCAGGATCCTTGATGATCAGAAACAGTCTTGTCTCCAGCAACTTAACTCTTGCTGTTCCTTGTCCTCCTTCATGCTGGGGTTAGTACTGGCCAGGTGAAAGTATTTCTAGCCCCAATGGGACAGCAGTCCTAGCAGCACCCAGGGGACTTGAGTCAGAAATGACTGCCAGTGAATTGATATACAAGGCTTTAGTGATTTGTCCCAAGTTGACATGAGCATTTGGACAGCTGTCCAAAGGGAATGTTATTTCCCTGCTGACACCACCCCCATCCCATATGCCTTTTATCACACAGACTAATTTCAGGAGCTACTCCTGGGCAAGCCTCCAGGGACTGCAACTGGCTCCAAAATTCCTGTCCAGGGAATACACTAGGTTAGGATGGGGAGAAGAAATTGCTGCTTATAGGAGGCTTCACTCATAGTTGCTGGGTACCAGCAGAGCAGCACTTACTTTCCTGGAGATTGTTACCTTCTGCCTACAGAAGCATCATTAGACATATGATGTGTTCTCAGCAGAGAAGGGACCCATGGGTGTTACCTTCCCCGTGTATGGTAGTCCACATTTGTAGAACGAATGGAGGTTGATAAACTCTGTAGACTTCATTCTCATTGCAGTAGGAATTCCAGCCATTTCCATAGTCTCTGCTCCTGGGTGGAGAGATGAGAAATCTGTTAAACCCTAGCAGTGCTCTTAGGGAAACAGAAGACAAGAAGATGCTTCAACACTATCTACAACATATACAACCTCTAAATTTAGGAGAGAAAATACATTCTTCTAGGGTATGATTCCCTCAATCTTTCTGGGCCCTCTGCTTCATGACATGATGCATCTTACCCTATAAGTACTTATTTTTCTTTATTGAAGATTAAGAGAAACTAGATGACTGTTTAGTTATAGACAACTACACTGTAGATGCCCAAAAGTGGCCTGAAGGACCCCACCCACAGTGTGACAGTTTGAACAACGGACACCTCCAGTTGCCAGAATTAGGTGCATTTTAACACTGATACTGGAAACCTACCTCCTTATAATCAATATTGTGTCAGGTTAAAAGGGAGTAGAATGGGATTCCTAAGAGCAGGAGTGTGCATAAGCAGCCCTGCTTGAGGCTTAGGAAAAGAAAGGACAAAAGACTGTGGGTAGGTACTACCTGTCAGGATGGTGCACTACAATTAGCAAGGACTGCGAGGGATTGTTGCAGACTTTTTCATGGCTAGCCAGGGCTTTGCAACTGGCTGAGGAACACCTCGGTGTCCAGGCAATCACTACAAAGTTATCTGTGTGCTAGCGGAGATGAAGGGTGGAGAGGATTAGGAAATCTGGTAATAATAAGTGGAAGAGGTACTACAGTAGAGACCATCATCACGCCAGAAAACTTGGGAACCCTCAAGTTACTTTTTCAAAAGCAATTCAACAGCCACAGAAAGACCAAAACCAAAAATTTCAAAGAAAGAAAGGATCAGAAGTTGGCTGCAAGGAAGGAAACACTTCACATATCCTCCAGTACCTGTTCCATCTTCCACCATTTCTCCTATCAACCACAATTATGTAGCTGTCAGTTTCATTTAATTCCAGAGTCTCTGTCTTCACCATAAAAGTAGTGCAGCCGTTCTTGTTTGTCTGGAGAAAGAGAGATATGAACAGAGAGAAAGAGCATGGTGTGGAGGAAGAGGAGCTGTTTCAATTGCTGGGCAATCCTAAAGTATTTCCAAATACTTGTGGAACAGATGGAAGCTCAAAAACCTATAACTACAGAAACCTGTCATGCATACCTTAGCCAGAGAAGAAAATCAACATGCTTGGATTAAACAGTCACTAAAAAAGTGGCAGAAAAAAGTGCTTCAGGAAAATCACATAAGGGTTAATTTTGTCACAGACAAACTCAGGAGACTGGGTTAAGACCAGATCCTGCAGCTGAAAGAGCATGGATGTCTTTACCTGAGCTAAAGATAACCTCCTCCCTGAAACTATACGGCCCTGAAGAATAAAGCCTGACACTGTGGCTTTCCAGTCATGACCATCTCTGTGACGTGGCCATGTTAAACAAGGGCATCCAGCCAGTTACAGATTGCAAGAGCTTTGCCAAGCATTAAGGCAGAGTCTGCCAGAGAGGGGAGGTGGACAAAGTGTTTCTAGTCGTGCCTGTTAAGTTTTCTGGAGAACCTTGCAGAGCCTCTTACATGCTATGTGAGAGGGAGCTGGCATTCAGTTGGTATCTTGCACAGCTAAGACTGTATAGCATCCCAGCTGGAGATATTTTGCTACTGGGTGTATTTTAAAAGATGCAGAGATCCAGTTGGATTTTTATATTCTGGCTTGTTGCTGGCTGGTCTGACATTTAGAAATATTTTCTTGTGACTTTCAGGCTGAAAGAGCTACATCTCAAAGCCATGGGAAAAACCAAGTGTGGAGTTTAACCACAAATGTATAATGAACACAAATGTGCAGAAAGTGTAACCAGCACTGGACATAATCTCACAGAGGACACTAGCAAGCTTAAGATTATCCATTAACTGCATGGAAACAGCAAGAAACAGGGTATTAAGCCACAGACCATCTGATGCTCTGACAGTCTGTTTATTGGTGGGAGCGGTCACAGGGCTGAATAGACCAGTGATCTGATTCCATACAATAGGATACAAAGCCCTTGGGAAAGGCCCCAGGCATCATTACTGTCCTGGTTTCAGCTGGGATAGAGTTAATTTTCTTCCTAGTAGCTGGTACAGTGCTGTGTTTTGGATTTAGTATGAGAACAATGTTGATAACACACCAATGTTTTAGTTGTTGC